GAACCCCTGTTCTAGATTTATTTGCCAAGTGATCTTGGGAAAGTTACCTAACCTTTCTGAGGCCCTTTTTCAAATGTTATATGGAGTAGATAATAACTATTTCATAGGGGTGTGATGATGCATAAATAATACATGGGAAGTATTTAGAAAAATGCCGTCAATAAATAGTATCTGCTATTACAGTACTGAGTCTACGTCTTCATACATTACCTATTCTGTTGCTATTAGACAAGAGCTTAAAGGAAGTTGATAACTCTCACATATAGTCATTCAACCCGCGCAACTTTGTCAAGTGGCAAAGCAAGGAATAGCATTGGCTTCTGGAAATCTGACAACTGAAGCAATCAGAAGTTCACTTCCTCCCTTAAGTACATACAAACGGAACCCAGGTCTCCCGATTCCCAGAACAGGGGTCTCCAACGAGCTTCTCCCTTCCCTCTTCAGGGCCAGGTGGCTCCGACCCCTCGCTCCAAAGATTCCCGCGCGCCGGGAAGAGGAGCAGCCGCGGGCCAGCCCGGGATTCGAGAGCAAACCGGGCTCCGAGACCAGACCGTCGCACTCTAGCACGGCGGCGACTCTACACACAGAGCGCTTCCCGCAGGCCTTCCGCCACACCTTGCTGCACTGGGGCGTCGGGGAGACCCCGTGTAGCTCGGAGCCAGTCCCCGCCGCGCCGGCGTGATGTCAGCAGCTCGCGCCGCGGTCAGAACACTGTGGTCTCCTCTCTAGGAAGGCGGGAGCGGCTTCATCTCGGTGCTTCCTCCCCCGCCCGGAGCTGGGGTTCAGCCCGACGCCGCAGACGCTGCTGCAGAAACAGCCCGCAAACCCACCTCACGGCGCTCCTTCCCAGAGTAAGGAAACCGAACTGGAGACTCGTGGCAGACCACAAGTCGCCCTTACTGTTCATTCTGCAACCTGGCCACATTGATCTTTCTAAAAACTCTTCCACATCACTGCCTTTTGGAGGTTTTCCCAAAGGTTTCACAAAGCTGGCTTAACCTTCCTTACATTCTCACCTGCCAGAAAACTGGTTTCTTCACAGGAACCCCAAACACCCTCTGCTTTAGCTTTTGTTCGACAACTGGCCCTGAGAACATAAGAGCTCTGTTTTCAGTTTAAGTCCCAGATTATCAGCGTGTAAACTTGGGCAAGTTATTTCTCTGTACCTGTTTCCTGACTTAGAGAACCTAAATAAATAATGGTACCGAATCTCAAAGGTTATCATAAAGATTAAATGGGCTTAATGTGTGTAATTACTAAGACGTTCCAACATCTTTAAAAAGTTCAGTAAATGTTTTTTCTGTCACGCTCCGCAAATTCCAGCTCCAGTCCTCTGCATTGGCTTCAAGGGACCTTGCCAGCCCTCAAGGCCCTCATCCCCACTGCTGCAAAACTTCAGATCTTGCTGAGACTCGCGCAGGGAATACTTGCACATACAGGCTCCTTTTGACAGTGTGTTCCCGGGATGAAGGCATGAGTAGCAGGGTACCTGATCCACTTCCAGGCATTCTTACGGATGTGCACGCTGTGGGAAATATGGTTGTCTGCTTACCCTATTCCTACTGTATAATTCATAAGGAGCCCTCAGCAAACCCTTGAAAAAAATGAATGAGATGCAGCAGAGAAGTTATCTGCTTAAACTTCTAGACTGGCTGGTTTAACAAAATGAAGTCCCTTTAGGAGGCTGAAATTAGGAGTGTAGATGCTCCAGACTAAGGCCATTATTAACCCTCTTCAGCTAAAAGAGGACCCTTCGTAGAACTGTCAGCTGACATGACAGGAAACAGTAATGTTGAGCTCACCTTGCTTTTTACCAAAAGTCACATTCTCAGCACTTCTTTGGAATCAGATAGCAAGTTCGTCCTGTCCAACGCACCCCCCCCCCACACAAGCCCTAACATCTCACAGGCCAAAGAGCCTAGGTCTAATAATTTTTTTTCTAACTTTTAAGCTTCAAAGAATCCAAATCAGCAGGCTCTGCTGTGTAGGAACTAACTCTAGAGTGGGGTATCCTAAGTAGAGCAATTTACTAGAAACATTAGTCTGGGACTTAACACATTTGGGCTGAGCTTCTTTCACTGAGGTGGGAAATGGATGGGGAGGCAATGAGGGGGTGGGCAGGGGAAGAGTGGACACCAAAAACATTCCACAAAACTAAAGTGACCTTAGCCCTGCAGTGGCCAGTAGCTAAAGGGGAGTGAAACTGAAGCCACCTGGAGTCAAAGCTAGACTTCTGCATTAAGTAGGCAGAAAGGTGAAATGAAAATGTGAAACCAATTTATTTCTCACACTCACACGCTGGAAAGTCTGAGGGCAAAAAAGCTTTTTGATTTAAAATGAGCTCCCAGGGTTGCCTGCCTGGCTCAGCTGGTAGAGCACAGGACTCTTGATTTAAGGGTTTTGAGTTCAAGCCCCATGTTGAGTGTAGAAATTACTTAAAAATAAAATCTTAAAATGAGCTCCTCCCATCCTCACAAGCAGGGCAAGATTGGAGTCCTATGCAGTCAAATCTATAATAAACACAACTAAAGAGGAATCATGGAGCAGAGGTATGACCAATAAAGAGAAATCTGAAGGAAAAGTGAGAAAGGACATGGGAGTTTAAAATTTCACATGTCACTTACTAGCTGTGTGACCTTGGGCAAGTACAACCACCTGTTTTCTCTACTGTTGTTCTGAGGATCTGATGTGGCCTCATCCCATGTCCTTGTGAAATCACAAGTTAAGTTTCAGCACACTGAGAATGAGCACCACATTCCAGTTCTTTATCATCTGGAGCCAAAGAAAGCTGTGAGCTCAGGTAGTGCTTCCACACTGGGACTGCTAAACTTAAAAGCTCTCCTGCTACACTAGCATCAGTATTCAGCTCCTGCTCCTTATTTCAGAGATATTCCAGCTGACATGGTTCTGCTTCTACAGATGCAAGCATTTGCCTCCTCCTGGTGATGCTGACATCAACATATCTGAAAGTACTTTGTTAAACTGTGATGCGACATTTAAATAGCTCATTTTTAACACAAGGGTTTTGTTTTGTACAAAATATTACTTTTTCTTAAGGGACCCTCTGCTTAATATAACCACACAATCTGTATCTTGAGGAAAGATTCGGAATGCTTGCACCTGGCAAACACTTCATGGACACACTCATATCCTCTCCATACCTCCCTTCTGCTGGCAGCTGTGGACCTAAAGTCAAAGCCTGTAGGCAGGCGTGGAGAAGTGTCTGACTTGGGTATTTTAGTTGAGCTCAACAAATATTTACTGAGCAAATTTGAAGTGCCAGTGACTGTGGATACAAAGATGAATAAGTATCACAGGGCCCCTGCTTTGACAGAGCTGACAGTTCAGTGGGAAGAGAAAGATTTGGAAACTAGCCACTACAATGGAACATAAATAAAATGAAGGTGTCAAAATACCGAAATAAAAAACATGTGAGGTCAGAGACAGCTTCAAAGCAGGTGTTGCATGAACATATTCCTAAGTGACTCATGGGGGCTTTCCAGGCAAGCAGAAGGCAGGCAGGCAATCGAGGCCACAGGAAGAGGCTGTGCAAAAGGCACCAAAGTTGAGGCCAGCAATGATACAGAGTCACAGGAATTTACACTACGGAAGTGTGCAATGCAGGGAAGGCAGCTGAGAGGGGTGATGTAGGCATGGACCCCTGGAAGAGCTCTATTTATTTATTTTTATTGTTTGTGCATGTGGAGGAGCTTTAGATGCCTTCTAAGGGGCTCAGATATTCTGAGTTAACAGAGCTTCCAGTTGTGCTTTGCAAAGACCATCCAGAAGAAATGTGGAAGATGGCCTCATGGGGCAGGCAACTGGAAGACTGACTGGGAAAGTAGGAAAATGGTCTAGGAAATAAACTAGGATGTGGACTAAAGCAATAGCGGTGGAGATGGCTTTCAGACTTGGGAGATATAAGCAGGATACAATGGTTGCTTGGATATGAGGACTGAGTAAAAGACTGACCGAGAACAATTCCAAGATTTGGCGCTGGAGTGACTGGGCACTTGGCTGTCCAGTAATTGAGAGAAAACTGAGAACAAATATTTGACAGTATGAGACTACAGGATGAGGACAGAAGCAAGATGACAAATTCTCTTCCTTCCTGTTTTCCCAGGAAGTGAAAATGGTATCAGACTCTTAACCTGAGTATTAAGACATTTTTGGATTTTTATAAAATCTCCAAACAAGACCTTGGAGATATCATTCATCCTTAGAGGTCCCATTTCTTCCTTAAGAAAATACTCCCAACTCTAATCTCAACTCAAGAACTCTAAATAAGTATTTATTTAGAGTACTGTATAAATATTACGCTAAATACCTACATATCAGGAAGTTGCTAAAGTTTCTGGTGGGTACAGGTTGATTAAAATATATTTAACAAATATTTATTTAATATTTCCTATGGGCCAGCAATGGATTCTCTAGTGTCATTTTCATTTAGAAAGTACAAATACGGGCACCTGGGTAGCTCAGTTGGTTAAGCGACTGCCTTCGGCTCAGGTCATGATCCTGGAGTCCCGGGATCGAGTCCCGCATCGGGCTCCCTGCTTGGCAGGGAGTCTGCTTCTCCCTCTGACCCTCTCCCTTCTCATGTTCTCTCTCTCTCTCTCAAATAAATAAATAAAATCTTTAAAAAAAAAAAAAACAAAGAAAGTACAAATACATCAGTATCTCCTTTAAGTACTATAATTTTTTCATGAACAAAAAATTCTAACAGGGTTATTTTTGTCCATAGGGTATTAATTTACTCGGTTATGAACTGCCCTGTGGCAGGTTTTGGGAATAGAATCTTCACAGCTGCAGAGGGAGAGAGTGCTGTTTCTGCCATGTTCCTATTAATGGTAATTAATAGCTCATTAATAGCTTAATGGTAATTAATACCACTGCTTACAAGATAGCTGTTCTGGAAAAAAATTAATGCTGAGTTCTAAATAACCAACCATTCCAGAATCAACTGACTTTGTTTTTTTAACAGTCATTATTTTAAAAACGATATAAGCTTCAGGGCATAGAAACTATTCCAAATAGCCGTGAAAGGTGATCCTCACCTAATCTCTCAGAGCTCAAACTTTGGGTAGCAGTAAAGAACATGAAAGCGAATAAGGAAATAAAGGGGGAAACCATGCCCTTTTTCTTAAAAGAATAAAACACCATCATAGTGGCAAACTGTACTATCTCAATACTCAGGGACTTGAAAAAGAGGTAGAATACTTTCCAAATGTATTCCATGAAAGTCTTTCCCTAGATACTCCTAACCTGCAGGGAAGGGTAAATATCCAAGAATAAGATAGTTCCAATAAAAACAGGAGTATCTGAAATCTAACAAATTTGTTTAAAGCCTCCAATGGCATAATTACATGAAACGTAGCCCTCCCTGCTACAATGACCAACACTCTCTTAGGGACTAGTCCAGCTGCCCCAACTCCGGCCAACCTAAAAAGCTGACTGCTCTCTTCACTAATGGTTTCTCCTCCCTAAACATCAATTAACAGTTGTTTGGACATAGTTAACCCTGGTGGGTCTCTCTCCCCTGGACCCTACAAACCAGTGGCCCAGGCAAACTTATGAGACAGGTGTACACCTTAGTCCAGGGCTGGGATATGTAGGTCATCTGCTCACAGACTTCCTGCTCTGAGCCTCGGCACCAGCAGTCTAGCGCAAACCATTTTCCTCATGGGTGAGTGTTCCTCTGGGACAAAGGTTGGCCCTTCCTCTTCCTGACCCTCTGAGCAGATCTGACTCTCTTCCCACAAACTGGCACCATTTAACGTTAAGTTTCTCTTGACCTCCTACTTCCTTTTTGGCCCCAAATTGCCTTCCAGCTTGAAAGGATCAGGAAAGATCTCTCTTACCCTGATAAAAGCCTTCTTCACGAACTATCTGTAGACATCAGCCCAGTTCTTGCCACATATCCTCTTATTTGTTGAATGAATAAGGATTCTTCGTTTTCCCTTATTTCCAATGCCCCTTCATGAGACCGCTTCTAACAGATGGCATGTTCTCAGATATCAGAAGGCTACTTAGCACTACCTCAGAATTGCTTCCACATGCACACTGAATATTTGGAAAAGCACCTCAGCCTACTGGCCAGAGAACACAGGTCACAAGTTGGGAAGGTGGGGCAGGAATGCAGTAAGGGAAATACAGGTGCTAACTTAGCAAATGGCCCCTAAAATCATGAGAGTCACAAGGGGAAGGAGGAGTGGTAGGTAGCCAGGATTTATCCGAAAAGCAAGAAATTCCTTTCTACCCTATATTCCCAGATGCCCAGCTGGAGTAGGCTCTACATTCTCCAAGCTCCTGCCTCCATAAGTGGAAATACTCTTCCGAGTGTAACAGTCGGTGTTCCTTCATCCTTCCCTCCAGGAACTCTGCCTGCCCCACTGCCCCCAGACAGATTCCCAGCCACTCTTTCTAGAGAAGCTATCCCAACCTGAATGCCAGGGTTATTCACCATTGTGAAGTTTCTGATGTCTGAAAAGGACTGAACTATGTCTGAAGAATTTTCCACATTCAATGCATTCGTAAGGCTTCTCACCAGTATGAATCCTGTAATGTTCACTAAGGTGTGCATACTTGCGGAAAGTTTTCTCACATTCACTACATTTATAGAGCTTCTCACCAGTGTGAGTTCTGTGATGTTCAGTAAGAGATGAGCTATGGGCAAAGGCCTTCCCACATTCTTTACATTTATAGGGTTTCTCTCCAGTATGAATTCTCATATGCTGAGTGAGGCAGGTATTCTGATTAAAGCCCTTCCCACATTCATTGCATTTATAGGGTTTTTCTCCAGTGTGACTTCTCTGATGCCGAATGAGGCAAATGCTCTGAATGAAGGCTTTACCACATTCACTGCATTTGTAGGGTCTCTCCCCTGTATGAATTCTCTGATGCTTAGTGAGTGGGGTACTCTGAGTAAAAGCTTTGCCACATTCCTTACATTTATAGGGTTTTTCTCCAGTATGAATTCTCTGGTGTTTAATAAGGGATGGGCTCTGACAAAAGGCTTTGCCACACTCCTTACATTTATAGGGTTTCTCTCCAGTATGAATTCTCTGATGCTGAGAGAGGTTTGCCTTTGTTTGGAAAGTTTTCCCACACTCATCACATTTATGGGGTTTATCCCCAGTGTGAATTCTCTGATGTTGTGTGAGATTTGAATGTTTGCGAAAAGAAGAGCCACATTCATTGCATAAATAAGGTTTCTCACCAGTGTGAATCCTCTGATGATGAATGAGGTGTGTGTTCTGATTAAATGCCTTCCCACATCTATTACATTTGTACGGTTTCTCTCCAGTGTGAATTCTCTGATGTTCAGTGAGATGCGAATGATTGCGGAAGGAATTCCCACATTCACTACATTTATAAGGTTTCTCTCCAGTATGGATTCTCTGATGCTGAGTAAGAAATGATCGACATCGAAATGTTTTCCCACACTGCTCACATCCATATGGTTTTACTCCGGTGTGAATTCTTTGATGCTGAACGAGGAAGGAACTGCGACTAAAGGCTTTCCCACATTCCTCACATGCATAGGGTCTCTCTCCAGTATGAGTCCTCTGATGCTGGGTAAGGGATGAGCTCTGAGTAAAAGTTTTTCCACATTCATTACATTCCCAAGACTTTTTCTGAGTAGAGAGAGCTGGGCATTTACTTTGGTCTGAAATCTCATCAGTGTGTATACTACTTGTCTCCCACTGATGTAGGCTCTCTTCTGTAGAAACCCTAAGATGTGTAACAAAGCTGGAGGTCAAGAGCAAGCTTCTCTCAAAATCATATTCTTGGCTAATTGTTTCAGGAGATGCTTCCTTGTGGATAAAAGTTATTTCCTCAAAACCTCCTTCCTGGAAAAGGCATGGTCTGGGAACCTCTCCAGAAGGGTTTTCCTTCATGCTTTCACATGTGTATTTTTTTTCAAATACAGAACCCTGGTTTGCATCCTCTGGTAATCTCTTTGCTACTCTCCCTGGTGAATCAATTTCAGAGACATCCTCCTCTGGAACAGACTTTTCCATCAAACCTGAAAGAAAACAACAGAGTGGGTATTTCTTACACAGGACAGAATGGAAGCCCCTGAGGTTACAGGGGCCTAACTCTAACATATGTCAATATGTGGCATATAAACAAGGCCCAATAAAAGCAAGTAGAGCACATAACTCAATTACAAGTGCTAGAAGAGATCTGTATCAGGGTGGAGTTCACCATTAATAAGGAACCCCAAGGAATGGGCACTTACAGACATTTAGGAAGCCACAGAACCAGAGACAATACAAATAAAGGGAAAATAACAAACAGCAGAAAGCTAGGATTAGGTTAAAGAAGAAACATGGGTGGTTTGTATTCAGAGTCGACAGTGGGAGAATGAATGTAAAAGCAAATGCTGGAAATGAGACAAAATGAATATTGGGGAAAAGTTGGCCCCTGGAGATGCTCACCCACATCTGCCCTCCAACATCCCTAAAAGGAGGATAATTATATTTCCCGAGTTTCAATCAGTTTCTCTTGTAAAATTTCCAAAGCCCTGCTTTTTCTCCCACTGGTTTTTTCCTTACTCACTCACCTGGACAAACCTCTCTTCCAAGCACTCTCTCTTCAGCTCCTTGCATATTCAACATCCACAAACCTTCTCTTTGTTTCGACTGGAAAACACTTCAGAGTTGGAAAACTGGGAGCCCTGCTCATAGGGGGGAAAAAAGGTGGGGAAGGGGATATCACTGTCCCAGTAAACAGGAAAAGGACAAAGAATTGTTGCCTAGGGATACTATCTAATAATTCACACAACATCTGTTCAGATAGCAGTGTGACTGCACGGTTGGCTTCCAGCCTCCTAGCTTCACCAATTCCATTTGTCAGCTGTGTAAAAAGTGATAGCCAGAGTGATATATCAGCAAACACTCAAGTGCTGGATGGATAAATCAGAATGCTATTTATAATGATAAAGCTACCTATCAAGTAGATACAAGTATTCATGTCTTTATACAACAATCAATATGAAAGGCCAATGAACACAATCAAAAGTTGCATTGGTAGGGACATATGTGTGGCTCAGTTGGTTAAGCATCCGCCTCTTGATTTTGGCTCAGGTCATGGTCCTTGGGTCCTGGGATCAAGCCCTGCATCAGGATCCCTGCTAAGCATGGAATCAGCTTCTCCCTCTCCCTCTGCCCCTCCCCGGTTTTTACACTCTCTCTCTCTCTCTCTCTCTCTCAAATAAATAAAATCTTAAAAAAAAAAAAAAAGAAGAAGAAGAAGAAGTTGCATGGGGAAGTGGACTCATAGCAAGGCTAATGCAATAAGTTTGGTCCACCCATCTTCACTATCTGCCAAGGAGCTGGACAGTAGTTAGGGAACTCTATTTGTACAACTTAGAGATACACTGACTGCCCAGTCTTCTAGATGTCAGATCAACTAAACAGTTTTTCTTCAGGCACAGCTCAACGTTAAGAGTGTAGGCTGCAGGGGTGCCTGGGTGGCTCGGTGGGTTAAAGCCTCTGCCTTCGGCTCAGGTCATATCCCAGGGTCCTGGGATGGAGCCCTGCATCGGGCTCTCTTCTCACCAGGGAGCCTGCTTCCCTTCCTCTCTCTCTGCCTGCCTCTCTGCCTATTTGTGATCTCTGTCTGTCAAATAAATAAATAAAATCTTTAAAAAAAAAAAAAAAAGAGTATAGGCTGCAGTCTAAAAAAGAAAAAAGAGGCGCCCGGGTGGCTCAGGCAGTTAAGCATCCGACTCCTGATCTCAGCTCAGGTCTTGATCTCAGGGTCATGAGTTCAAGCCCCACATTGGGCTCCATGCTAGGTGTGGAACCTACTTAAAAAACAAAACAAAACAAAAAACACTTATACTGTGAAATAATTTTTGACTTAAAAGAAAGTTACAAAAAATAATACAGAGATTCTGAAGTTTGGAATGTTAAATCACAACTGTTCATCCAAAAATGTCTCTCCATATAACCCTGAATTGAGAAGCAGAATCAGCAGCATTATTACAAGGAAAAAGGAAGACAGAAAGATGATTTTACCATAATCAAGAGCTCAGAAGGTAATTAGAACAGCGTGAGTCTGCTGAAGTACATACGTAATAAGGCTGGTACTATGGGCTTCTCTATCAAAGTCTGCGCCTCTGTGTTGAGTTTTAAAGGTTTAGGAGGATCCTATCTGGGAGGCTCCCGGGTGGCTCAGTGGGTTAAGCATCCAACTCGATTTCAATTCAGATCATGATCTCAGGGTTGTGGGATGGAGTCCCGCATCCAGCCCAAAGTGGAGGCTGCTTAAGATCCTCTGTCTCCGTCTCCCTCTGCCCCTCCCCAACCTCTAAGTGTAAAAAGAACCCACCACACAATCATACAGAAAACCATTTAGTAGAGTAGGGTTTCACTATAATCAGAGTTAGTGGACAAAGTCAGACACGCCCCCACCTGCCTAGAACTTACATTACAGTTGGACAATGACATTAAAGTGTAGTTACAATTATGGAAATTATAAAAGTGGAAATATGGGATGCGGGAATGTAGAGAAACGGGGACCTAATGTAGTCTCAGCAAGAAAGCCTTCCTGGAAAAAAAAAGGTAAATAGGAAACAGGTGAAGATAGAAAAGAACAGACCAGAGATATGAAACAATATACAAAAGGAAACGAGCTCAGTACTTTGGAAATATGAAAAAGATCCAGTTAGACAAAGTATTAAGCACCAAAAATAAGACATGAAGACTGAAGCAAGCAAAAGCCAGATCAAATACAACCTGTGAACTATTTTAAGTGAGTAGAAAGCCATAAAGGAATATGAAAAGGTTTGGGGGGAAAAAAGTGACACGAGCGTATCTGCTGTTAACAAAAAAACACATCCTTCTGCCCATAGCAAAGAGGGACACTGTGTATGAATGGTGGAAGGTGGGGAGGCAAGGTGAAGGCTAGAAGGCCCCACTGGGAGGTTGTTTCAGAAGTCCAGTAAGTAGACTGGACCAACTAAGAGACAGAATCCATAGGATTGGACGAATATTGGGTGGAGGTGTGAGGGAGGGGGAGAAGTCAAGATAATTTGCTGTTTTGGGGCTTGAGTGATGACAGCAACCTTTAGAGAGAAGGGGAACACTGGTTTAGGGAGAAAAAAGATACATTTAGTTTTCAAATACCCAAAGAGAAAGTAGGCATACATATCTGGAATAGAGGAGAGAGGTGTCATGAAGAGAGTAACTACCATTCTGTAAGTAACAGATAAAAACATCAAAGGAGGGGCGCCTGGGTGGCTCAGTGGGTTAAGCCTCTGCCTTCAGCTCAGGTCATGATCCCAGGGTCCTGGGATCATGCCCTACATCGGGCTCTCTGCTCAGTGGGGAGTCCACTTCCTCCTCTCCCTCTCTCTGCCTGCCTCTCCACCTCCTTATGATCTCTGTCTGTCAAATAAAAAAAAAAAAAAATCAAAGGAGTGTGGCTAGGAAAACCTCAACAACAACTTTACATATTAAAAGGAAATTTAACTCTGGCTTTTGATTTTAGAGATTCCCAATCCCCTGAGAGAAATAAAAGAATTTAATATGTGATAAAATTGGCATCCCTAGTCATAAAAAATTAAGTATTTATAAATTATGTTGGAACTGTTGCTTAACTACCTGGAGAAAAACACTTAGTGAGATTCCTACCTCACACCACATACCAAAATAAATCTAAACTAGTTAAAGGTTTAAATATAAAAAATGAAACCACAAAATAAAATACTAAGAAATAATTGACTTTAGGGATAGGATAGGCTTTTCTAAGCAACATGCAAAAAAACACAAACCACAAAGGACAAAACTGGGTAAGTCTGGTCACAGAAAGACAACAATCTCTCTATCCAAAATACAAATAAAATTAAATGACAGACAATCTAGGAAAAGTATTTTTGATTTATACATCAAGGAGTAAGTAGATGCATCTAATGGATAAAAGACTTCTTATTAAAGAGTAAGGAGGGGCACCTGGGTGGCTCAGTGGGTTAGGGCCTCTGCCTTCGGCTCGGGTCATGATCCCAGGGTTCTGGGATCGAGCCCCGCATAGGGCTCTCTGCTTAGCCGGGGGCCTGCTTCTTCCTCTCTCTGCCTGCCTCTCTGCCTACTCTGTCAAATAAATAAAAATCTTTAAAAAAAATAAAATTAAAAAAAAAATAAAGAGTAAGGAAAGGGGCACCTGGGTGGCTTAATCAGTTAACTGTCTGCCTTTGGCTCAGGTCGTGATGCCAGAGTCCTGGGATGGAGCCCCACGTCAGGCTCCCTGCTCAGTGGGGAGTCTGTTTCTCCCTCTTTCTCTGCCTGCTGCTCCACCTGCTTGTGTACTCACTCACTCTCTCTCTCAAATAAATAAATAAATAAATAAATAAATAAATAAGATCTTTGAAAAATAGAATGAAGAGTAAGGAAAAAAGAAAAACTCATAAAACAATGAGATATACAATGTATACAGCAAAATTACAAAAGGCCAATAAACATCAAAACAAAGTTCCATCTTGGTGGCAATCAAAGAAATGGAAACCGAAAGAATAAAGAATCTATTTTTATATCAAATTAGAAATTTTCTTTTAAGTGTTAAAAGTCAACACTGACAAAGGTATGGGGAAAGACAGCTTCTCATACACAAGCAATGGGAATGTAAACTAGTACCATCCTTCTAGAGATAATTTGGCAATATACATCAGGTTTTAAAATTGTAGGTTGAGTTGCAGTTGGAATCCTGGGATCACCATTTTGTAAGTATAGGAACTCAGAAAAGAATACTAACTATATACAACACCTATATGTATCTCAGAAGATTCTCAAAATCATCAGGATGCCTATAAAATGCCTATATTCTTTGATCTAGTAATTCTACTATTAGAACTTTTTCATAAAGAAGCAACTTCCCAGAGTATCTGGGTGGCTCAGTCAGTTAAGTGTCTGACTTCTGATCTCAGCTTGAATCTTGATCTCAAGACCCTGACTACAAACCGCAGACTGGGCTCCATGCTGAATGTGGAGACTACTTAAAAAAAAAAAAAGAAAGAAAGAAAGAAAGAAAGAAAGAAAGAAAGAAAGAAAGAAAGAAAAAGAAAAAGTAATTTCCCACAGAAGAAAAAAGCTGAACTTCTTTGTTACCTATAAAAAAATTACCCTGCAATGTTGCTGGAAATCCTACCAGTGGACACTGAGGCTTAGGAAATTATGGTACTTCCTCTTGGTGGAAATTATATATATATATACATATATATATGTGTATATATATATATATATATATAATTATATATATACATTAAGATAACTAAAATGAAAATATGTGATCATTTGGAAAAATACTTATCTCTATGTAAATGAAAAGAAAATGGAGGACTTCAAGTACATCATATATATGTATGTTAAAGCATGCTTTCTTTTTTTTTTTATGCTTTCTTTTTTAAAAACTAATTCTAATCTCAAGAATACATTTCAAATTGTTGACCATGACCATCTCTGAAGAAAAGGATTATGGCAACCTTTTATGTTAGGGCCTATCTTTGTGTAATGTTTCAAAGTATTCCTGTAGGAATAAACAGCCTCTGTAATCAGATTTTTTTTTTTAAGTGAAAAAATACGATCAGAGATGAACACAGAAATGTATGTACAAAGATCACACTGTTACTATAATTGTAAAACAAGCAAATAAATATTGATAGCACAGCAATATGATAGCTTTTGTAACTATTAAAAATCATGTTTTCAAAAAATATTCATTAGAAAATACAGTATGTTAAAGCAGGAGAATACAAAATCAAAAATCAAAAACACAAGACACAAATGTTGAAGACTATGTGGAGGAAAAGGAACACTTGTGCACTGTTGATGGGAATGCCAACTAATGCAGTCACTGTAGAAAACAATGTGGAGGTTCCTCAAAATGTTAAAAATAGAACTACCTTACCATCCAATAATCACATTACTGTGTATTTACCCAAAAATACAAAAACACTAATTCAAAGGGATACATGCACCCCTGTTTACTGCAGCATTATTTACAATAAACAAATTGTGGAAACAGCCTGTGTTCAGCAACAGATGAATGGATAAAGTAGATGTGATATATACACACAATGAAATATTATTCAGCCATAAAAAAGAATGAAACCTTGCCATTTCAAAAACATGGATGGAGCTAGAAAGTATAATGTTAAGTGAAATAAGTCAGGGAAAGACAAACACCGTATGATTTCACTCAGATGTGGGATTTAAGAAATCAATGTGGGATTAAGAAAAAAGAACAAGCAAAAAAAAAAAAAGAGAGAGAGAGAGAGAGAGAAAAAAAAAGAGCTAAAGCAAGAAACAGACTCTTAACTACAGAGAACTGATGGTTACCAGAGGGGAGGGGATGGGGGGAATGAGTAAAAGAGGTGAGGGGAATTATAGTGTACACTTGCGATGATCACTGAATCATGTAGAGAATTGCTGAATCACTATATCGTACACCTGAAACAAATATAATACTGAATACTAACAATACCGGAATCATAAATAAAAAGGAATAAGTGAAAATTATGTAAATTTGATTTTGGAAAAATTATTTAAATGCCTGCTTGATTTTGATGTAAATTCTAGTTGAGACTCACTCTCTTGGTCTCCTAGGTATCATGAAGTCAAGGGACTTGTATGCCTTGTTGGCAAAATTTCCAGTGCTATCAAAATGTCTGATTCTCAATGCTTACAGAAGAAGACTGATTCTCAATGATTACTGCTCTGGGACGGGAGGAGGCTGGAGCAGAGAGGAGGATCTGGAATCTTCACAAAACTTTTGTGTATGGGCACTGGAGGACCTTCTAGTCAATGAATGTGCAGAGAAATGAAGCACATAATTCTCAGGGCTGCTGCCTTAGTTCGTGAATGAAACTAATAATCTAAAGTTCCCAAAGGCACACCTTTTAACTCTGCAACAGTGATGGCTCGTGTACATATTAACAGCCCTCAAAAACTTGGACCTCAATGACTAATTGGAACAATCTGTCTTAATATGTAGACGTAATGGTTGTTAATATAAGAGCTATACTCTGGAAAAACAGACCTTAAAAAGATCATTTTGGTGAGCTGCACAACTAACCCTCAGCCTTGCAGTGTGAGGCAACAGGATGAATGTATATATTGAGATCTTTTACATCCTTAATACAAGAGGTAGTTTTGTGGGAGGATTTGCTTCTTTAAACACCCTTTTAATGAATGAATTACACCTTTTCCTTCTCTTAGAGTTCCTTAGCTTTAAAAAAAAAATGCTTTCAAAGAATATCGATGAGAAAATACAGATTGTTAAAACAATATAAAACACTAAAATAAAAAATATGCATACACACATCAGCACTAAGCAAACATTCAATAAACAGGAACTATTATTAATACGTGGATATATTGGGGTGCCTGGGAGGCTCAGTGGGTTAAAACCTCTGCCTTCGGCTCAGGTCATGATCCCAAGGTCCTGGGATCAAGCCCCACATAGGGTTCTCTGCTCCACTGGGAGCCTGCTTCCTCCTCGCTCTCTGCCTGCTTCTCCGCCTACTTGTGATCTCTGTCTACCAAATAAATAAAATCTTTAAAAAAAATAATAATACATGGATATATACAAGACACAAAGAACAGAAGAAATCCACCAAAATGTTAACATATTGATGACTAGAACATTTAATGGGTTACTTTCCTTTGTCCTTTATACCTGTCTATATATTTCACTTTCCCTAAAAATAAACATGTATTACTTTTATAATTAAAGAAATAGGGCACCTGGGTGGCTCAGTGGGTTAAGCCGCTGCCTTCGGCTCAGGTCATGATCTCAGGGTCCTGGGATCGAGTCCCGCATTGGGCTCTCTGCTCAGCAGGGAGCCTGCTTCCCTCTCTCTCTCTCTCTCTCTCTCTCTCTCTCTGCCTGCCTCTCTGTCTACTTGTGATCTCTGTCAAATAAACAAATAAAATCTTAAAAAAAAAAAAAAAACCGTACTCCTCTCTGAAGCCCTTCTTGGGTTTGTGGGTTGGCCAAAAGTACATACTCACCCAGGCCGCAGCAGCACACTAGATCTCTCTCTTCTGCAGCCTTGGGTCACTAAGTGGCCATGCCTCCTTAGACAGTCATCTTTTCTCTCCGTACCTCAATATCCTCATTAAAAACTACAGATAATAGTTGTGCGGGTTAAATAGATGAGCCCAACTGCTTCGAACAGGGCTCTTTTGCACTAGGTTTAAATTATCACAAAAATCTTCTTACATACATATCTATCTTCTTCCATTGCTAGACTGGAAGCATCTTCCCATTTGGCAGGCTCCAACGTCATTCATTCTGTAGCCCTGCCCCCGAGCTCTGAGTACTATTTGGCAAGTTTCGCATAGTAAAATTCCGTTGCAAAACAATCACGTTTCCATACGTGCTATCCCAGACATGCTGTCAACTGAACTTTGTAAAGAAAGGCAGGCAAAGACTACTAGACAGTCCAACTTTAGAAATGAAGCAACAGCCTCTGTGTCCTCAGGAATTACATAACTCAAGAGACTCGAGACTCGCCACCTAGTGCACTCTACACTACTGCCGGGTCCTAGTACGACGGTCCCTAAAAAAGTTTCTGAGCAGCAGGACTAAGGGCGGGGGAGCAGGTGGTATCCAAACCGATTTGATTTGATTAACAGATTCAACACTTTGCCACACACTGCTAAACACGGATATGTATCTGAACCCCGGGGACTTCGTTTCCGAACACGGGTCCTAGCTCTTGGTCATCTATCCATCACTCAGTCATCACTCATTCGTTCATTCCCGCCACCATCTTCTTAGACGCCAGCTCTGTGCCGGGCCCTATGCGGCAGCCGCTGGGAGTTCTGGGCCGCACGCGCAGACAGCAATCCGAGGGAGCGCGGGGCCGGGGCAGGCTTCGTAGAGAAGCCTCCCGCCAGCCGTCCCAGCCGAAGGCGCCTGGAGCCACTCCTTTCCCCTCCCTGAGGCCCCGCCCGCTCACCGTGAGGTCCGGGGGCTCCCCGCAGGGTGGCGACTATGGTCCCACAGGTGCGCGCAGGCCCAGGGCACGGGCTTCCCCTCCCCCAAGCCGGAAAAGCAGTGGCGCGGCCGGTAGTGCGTCACCAGCGGCTCCTCGCCTCTCGGCTCGCGCATCCTTACGCCGCTTCTCTAGGAAGCGGGAGGAGAGTCTCGATGGGGTCCTCAAGGAAGGTCGAGGCGGGGGGACCTGGTTTCCCTCCAAACCCACCCAGCCAAGTGTCTGAGGGCCCATTAAACACTACCTTTGCTCGGAACACGGTGACCACCTCATCCCTAAGGAAAACTGTAGTTGGGGTGGGCGTTAGGGTTGGAGAGACTGCTGAGTAGGAGTCGGAATCGGCTGTCTCATCGAGGCACTAGTGTATTCCACCTGCTAAAGGATAGCCGCTGATTAAGAATCTTGAAGGATCCACTATTTAGTGGGAATAATGGGCAAATTCCCGTTCTAGGCCCCCACACACTGACCTTACCGGGCAATATCTCTTATTCTGCTATTATTCACATTCCATCCTAAGTGAATTCCCATTGGTCCCCTGAAATCTCTTGTTTGTTCTTGACACTGGATCTTCTTTCCAGGATTTGCCCTTCTGGAATATTCTCCCTCCCCTCTACCTACTGTCTGCCACGCTGGCCATTCAGGTCATACTGGTTCTTCAAGACCCAGGGCCAATCTTTACTTGACCTTCAGTAGTGTTTACTCTCCACTGTCACCCCTACGAGTAATTCCAGCTCTAGCTGGTCTCCTAAATACACACACTTGTCCACTTTCAAACATTATTAGAAAGCAATACGTGTAATATTCCACCCAAGGGTGACTATAAAGTACCCAATTTATCTCTATATAACTCTAAGCAGATACATATCCGTGTTTAGCAGTGTGTGGCAAAGTGTTGAATCTGTTAATCAAATAAAAAAGTAAAGTTCAGATATTTGCATTTTTGAGAAATTGAAAAATATGTCATTAATTCCATCCAGGAAACAAGTTTCTGAACATCCAAAAGGAAGGACCATCTAGCTCACCTGTTTATACATCTGCTGTATCCTTCAGTAGAATATAAGCTTTATGAAGGTGGGGACCTTCTTTCTCTTATTCACACTGACTAACCACATCTAGAACAGTGGCTGACATATAGTAGGCACTCAGTAGATATTTCGTGAATGACTGACTAAACCACCAAAATTAGAATTCTTCCCTGAGCTGAGGGATTACATTCCCATTACTGATACTGATCCATCTAGAGTTTCATCCCTAAACATAAGTAGGTCACTAAAATCATGAAATTTTTGAGGAACACCAACAATACATGAGAAAGAGTTTCAAATGCATCATTACCAGATTCATAGGAGATATGATAGCTGGTTACAGTTTATGTTCTAACAAGTTACATGAAGTAGTTCCTCCAAGTAGATGTGTATTTATTGTTCATGGGAGAGAAAACTGCTGGAAATATCATCTTTCTTCCCCCATATTACCTAAGGCACACACTCTAAATAGTTGAATGTCACTCCCCTTTGGGAAATAGAAACTCCTGGTAAATCATATTCAACCACCCTTCAAAGGAGATTACATGAAAATATGCCATGAAGATATCTTGTTTTTCTATGCAAGATACAACCACCAGTAACATTTCACAGTTGCTTACCCAATATCTATTTCTCTGTCTCTAACACTCTGTGCCCAATTTACCATCAAGGAAAAAAGGCTAAGAGAGGTGGACGCAACCAATATCACACAGATTGTAAGTTAAAGAATAAGATCAGAAGGTTAGAACTTCTAACTCCAAATCCAATGTCCTTTGCAGGTTACAGCAGACAATTCCCTTTCCCTTTCCATGATTTAAGTTGTCCTTGTCTAGATCTTCTCCTTTTTCCTTATACCATCTCTAAAGGGGCCAGAACTATGTACAAAATTTTTAGATCCAATGATCACCATTTTAGCAAGGATACCATGGCAAACACAACATGTTGCCCATAAAGTATCCATTCTCATAATGCTCCTTACTAACCAACCCAAATTTTTATTCAGGGTAGCACTGTGCCCAAATTTCTCAAGTTTCTTCTCAGCTAGAGCTGGCCATATGACACAGTTCTGGGCTAAGAGATAAATATATGGGCTTATGGGTGGAGCTTTCAGAACACCACTGTTTTCCTAATTAAAAAGAGCAGACTGAGTTGGAAATTTTTTTACCTTCACTTTTCCCTTCTTGGAACACAGTTTTGAGGCTGATGATGCAGCAGCCATCTTGTAACCATGAGATGCAAATATGAAGATGTTAATCGCATTGTAAGAATGGGCTGACTGAAGGAAAAGAAGAGCATGGTCTTTTAGTTACTACAGCAGCCACAGACTGCCTCTCCTGAACACCCTACTGAGTGATAAAAAATTAACCTATTTTGGACCATCTGCCCTAGTTGAGTTTTCTTTATATGCCACCAAATACTTTCCCAACTGATTCACTTCCACAAGGAGAATATATGAAAAGGTATGGTCTGTGCACCTAAAAGTTTTTTCTCTAGAAAAGATGAAACTACTTGTAATTCAGCTTTTCAACCCAGCCAGGTCACAGGAAGCATATAGTCCACAGAGAGGAATTTCTCTGTAGGATACAATGACTCAAAACTTGGGGGGGGGGGTTGTTTTTGGTTATCATCAAAGCAAGTAATATGAACAACACACTATATACATATATGTAAAATCTAAGTGAGATACCCATGCTGGTAACTCAGGTCTTCTTCCCAAGAGGACAACACAGAATATAGTCAGTGCTAGATTTTAGATCTTCTGAGGCACTAAGTATTAAAAGATATGGTGAGATATCCCCAAACTCAACACATAATTAAAAAGTAATAACCACACCTAGAGGAGGAGGAATTAGAGGAAGATAGTCAAAAGGTACAAATTTCCAGTTGTAAGTTAAATCAGTACTGGGGATATAACGCACAACATAATCACTATAGCATCACGTGTTAATTTTTCATACAAAGGTGGCAATCAGCACTTAATACATGAAGACACTTTCCTAGACACAGATAATTCAACACAATCCCTGGGACTCAGTTAAAGTCTGAGTCAGACAATTACTCTAGGCATTATAAGTAGTCATATCCGCAATACATTAGATGTGACACCCTTGAGGCTTCCTTAGATATGGGTGAATCCTTTCATATTCTGACCACAGTGATGGGTGACAGGACCAAATAAAACAGGAGGGGATCCCCTGTCTCCACAGAGAAGGATGGGAGAGTATAGGAGTTCTAGTTGGGGAGGGACTGGCAGAACCCTGGATCTCATGGATCAAATCTCATTGATTTCCATGGGAGGGCTGAAGTCTGGGGCCTTTCTCTGCATGAGAAAATGAATTAAAAGGAGCTATGAATGTAGTTCCAACTCCCCACCCCAGGAAGCACAGTGCAGGGTGGGATGAATTGGTTCCTGAGAGACCCATCTCTTCCGTAGTTCCATCTTGCTCTGGCTGCCCTTCTCCATCACCTAGCCTCCACAATTGGGGCCCAGAACAGAGGTATGGTGAGTGATCTGCTCACAAATCTGCCTCAAAATTTTGTCTTGTTGTCTGTTTGCATGGAGGATGGGGTAGGTTCTTCCATGGCCATGGGGAGAAGAATGTCACTGGAAAGACCAGATGTCCACAGGTTCTCTGTCAGGTCTGATGAGTGACCAAGACTTCCATCACAAGGAGAGCCTCAGAGGGGTTGGAAGTGTGCTGACTCTGTCCTCTGGGACCCATACTGGTAAAAATGTGCTAAAAGAGCCTAGTGAGGAGTGCCAGGCCAGACCTCTGACTCCGCCCTACACATGACTTTCTTCAGTGCCCTCACTCCCATCTTGAGTACCTGGCCTGACCAGAATTTGCAGGATATCTAGCAGTCTCTGTACCATCCATGTTTCAGGCTAAAGGTGGCCCCTGTGCATGTCAATTTGCATGAAGAACCATGCTCCTTTTATTGAACCTCTAGAGCCCACTGAGGCAGAGTCACAGGGTAAAGGGGGTTGTGAACTGGAGAGGCCACCTGGGGTGGGGTTCACGGGGTGAGTATTCCTTTCAAGGGAGTAGGATCATTCCTGTTTGGGGAAGGGCACATAGAAAGTCAGTTATGTAGGTAAACCTTTCTCTTTATTCTGCTCCAGCACCAGTTCTGGGGCTCCTTCCAGATGTAGAGCCAGAAACAGGGCCTACTGTGGAGCCAGAGGCAGCTCAAGACCTGTTTCTACCATGACTCCCAAGTGTCAGAGCTAGTGTCACCTCCATCAGGCTCTCTAGAACTGGAACAAGTGCTAGCATCTTCTTCAGCATATATGTGTCAGGTCCTGAGATGGAGTCAGCTCAAATACTAGCTGTAGTAGGAATTCCATCTCTAGCTCCAAAAATAGAGACAGAGCCAGCTGCAGCCCCAGGGCCTCCCTGCCCCTGGCTTGTTACCAGGTAGAACCAGCTAAAAGGGAATTCCGACCTCATGGACTTCCCTCCCAATCTGTTGACAGAGTAGTCGACTTGATGGATGCAGTGAGCAGCTGGGCTCTCAGGAAGGGG